GGGAAAAGGGGGAATAATTCTTTGGATTGCAGGAGAGATGAGAGAATATTAGAAAATTTTTATATTTAGGAATTCGAATATTTGAAAATTTTTATATTTAGGAATTCGAATATTTGAAAATTTTTATATTTAAGAACTCGAATACGTGAAAATACGAATATATGAAAATTTGAATACTTAAGAATTCAAATACGTGAAAATTGGAATATATGAAAATTTGAATATTTAAGAATTAGAAAATTTGAAAATTTGAATATTTAAAAATTAGAATATTTGAAAATTTGAATATTTAAGAATTCGAATACGTGAAAATTTGAATATTTAAGAATTAGAATACCTGAAAATTCGAATATATGAAAATTTGAATATTTAAGAATTCGAATATATGAAAATTTTAATACTTAAGAATTCGAAAAATTTGAATATGTGAAAATTTGAATACTTGGACGTGCAAAAATTTGAATATCTGAAAATTTGTATACATATATGAAAATTAAAATATGTGACCATTTTTACATTCGAAATTTCGATTACTTAAAATTTCAACATTCCTACCACGTTTCAAACTAATTTTGGATTCGCGACTGTCCACGTGTCAGCCTTCACATGCAATTACACTGTAAGTCGACACACCATAATTCAATTTCGTATCATCGGTTTCACAACAATTAAAAGCACGAGAGTAACGAGAAAACCTGAATATTACATGTCCAATTACGTACATTCACGTTTGTACATAATTTAATGACAATTCATTGAAGTTTCACGAGATGAATTTAACCGTGAAAACCAGTAATGTTAATCGCCTCTTATGAAACAAATAATCCATCTACAGAAAACAAGTCCTGTGATTCAGTACTTTTATCCAACAACTCTTGCTTGCATTTAGAGGTCTACGTATTTATGGAAATCGATTATCATATTGCAACTTCAACGACGAGCGTAATACAAACAGCAAAACATTTCAACTACCATTAACGTTAATAAAAATTCGTTCACATGAAACCTATCTGAATCCAAAAAAAAAAAAATGTTCAATTCACAATTACTCAGCAATCGGAATTTCTTTCAACTAAATGCAGACGCTACATTATATCGCGATAAACTTTTCTATTTTTCTTACTTTCTTCTTCACCTGAAGTTCCTTTGTTCCCATTCGCTGAGAAACACCAAAATTTTTCTCTTCTCTCTCCTGTTAATATCGGCCTACCGCGTATTTTCTCAAACTAAACGCGAAATTTCCTAGGCAACTTCAGCTTTGATGTTTCACATCAAATAAACAATCACACATAATACAGCGTCTGGCATCTCGTCTTTTCATCTCGCAAACCACAAGGGAAACCTGCTTCGTTGAAACCAGAGACGAAGCTGCCGCAAAACATACCGACACTTTCAGCGTCAAACATTCCTCTCGGATCGTTACGAGTCGTCCAATCAAGAAAGGAAATCGACCAACGGTTTAACATAAACGACAATTAACGTCGAGGGAGAGAAAAAGGAAATCGGCATCGTTTGCTAGGCGCTGAGAATTCGGCCGTGAGAAGCCGGTAAATATACGGCGGAAGAAAAAATAGAACAGGTCGAAAGGATTCGGTTAAAGAGAAGCAGAAACGTTCGACGTCAACGAAGAAATAATTTTACCCTTTCGCGAGGGAAAATAAATACGAGATCTGTTACGGATGTTCGCAAGTGCTGCTTAGTAAACACTTCTTTTTTCAGTGTGTTTACAATTTGTTTGCTTTTCCCTTAGATTTGCATCGGAGAGCTCAGATTTGACGTTCTACAAGACATTTTGTAAATATAATTAATTTAATTACTAATACGACAAAGAATAATTTAATTAATCGTTCAATTGAATCGTAGTTAAATTGCAATTAATCCATTTCAGAAATTTCATTCATTTATTACTCATCACCGTACTGCTGTATTCTGTTATTATAGAAATTTATTTACAACGATCATTCTCCTTTCTTCTACTAAACTACGAAATCATAACGAACCGTAATTTTGTCCTGACAATAGAAAAAGAATAATAATAATACGAGTTTCGAGACTTAAATATAAAATAAGAATTTTAAGAATTTATCCCTAACGAGGGGAAAAAATAACGAAAAAAGTAAATTAGGTAGAAAAATAGCAGAAAAAAGGGGGAATGGGTAGAATTAGGTGGATAGGAGGAGTGATGGTATAGGTTGAGCGTGGAATTAATTGTATAGGGGGCGGGGATTTCGTTTCTTCGCGTTGTCACGTGCTCGTAAACACGCCGACTAAATGTGCGGCCGGCCCGATTGCTTTTCTATATTGCAACAACCGATAATGGGCTCGTTACGCGCATTTGTCGACGGACAAACGGCTAATTCAACGAGCATTCTTACGGTGCTCCATATTTCCACGCGGACACGTGTGCCAATAACTTTGAATTAGCGATTCTCGTTGGGGTTTCCCCGGCAGACATAAAACTCCCCTCTCTTGTTATTATTTGCATCGGTGATTATGAGAATGGCCTAAGTGAAAAATCGGAAAAATATTGAATTTACTGATTTACGTTACTACAGTGCGGTGCCGTTTTTGTAAAATAGCGGGAAATTTGAAATATGAATTAAATTGCTAGTTAAAATATCAAATATAAAACTCCCCTCTCTTGTTATTATTTGTGTCGGTGATTATGAGAATGGCTTAAGTGAAAAATTGAATTTACTGATTTACGTTACTACAGTGCGGTGCCGTTTTTGTAAAATAGCGGGAAATTTGAAAAACGAATTAAACAGATAAATAGAATTGACAGTTGAAATATTCAAAAGAAAAATCTTGAATCGTTAAATAGCACTGACGATTAAAATATTAAACAGGATGACCGAAAAGTGGAAATATCTTGAAACGAAAAATGAGTTAGGACAATTTTCTTATAATTATTTACATAATTAATGCGATAATTTTCATGAAACCTCGAAAAGTAGAATTTACTTTGAATCGAATCGTTAAATCGAAATGGTCAAAAAGTCTAAACAATCTCGAAACGAAAAATGACACGACTTAGGCCATTTTTCTGACAATTATTAACGCAATCGTACGATAATTCAGGAGCAATCTCGAAAAGTGGAATTTTCTTTATGACGATCGTTTCTGATGATAATTCATCGAACAAAGGAAGAATCCATACATTTAACAGAGAATTCAACAAGTTCAATTCGACTTTTTAGTTTTTTGCTTTACTTGGGAATATTACCTCATCGTTTATACTTAATTGGAGCATCATAATTGGAACATCCTCTCGATTAATTCTTTCGACTTGCCCGCTGTCATCACCTTGGAAGTATAACGGAATATTGTTTCATAGGTGTGACAAAAAAAGGTCAAATTGTTTCTATCACGCCTAAGCAGAGATGTAGTAATCCTTGTGCGGACGTATGTGTATAGAATTAATTCTATGTTGCATTGGAT